CGGTTGTATTTCTGAGTATTTATGAGTTTCCGGTTGTATTTCTGAGTATTTATGAGTTTCCGGTTGTATTTCTGAGTATTCGTGTAGAACCGTTTTTCGTTGCATCAGGTTACCCTTTTCACTATGTCAACAGGAAAAATTCCAATTCGTTTATTACAAACACATCTGCTGTATCCATTTTATTTACACTTTTACAGCAAATATTTCTTATTTGATATATGTTTAAATTATCACAAATGTTTCCGAAAGGCATCCGGCTGTCGGCTTTCAGTCCTTGAAATTTCCTTCCGTCGAGTGCTGTTTAACTTATGGGTCGGCCCGGTTTTTCAACATTTTGCTTGCTTCAGCATACAGAGTCTTTCTGAACCATACTTCACTTTGTTTCTGCCCTCACTTGTAAATCTCTGGCTCCTTTTCGCTTCCTCTGCTTGTAAACAAACCCATGTGAGCGGACAGTCCGAGCACGAGACCGTGACGTTACCAATGACGTATGCGGTGTCTCGCTGATTTATGTATCGTTTTCTGAGTATAAGAATGATTTCTCCTACTACTTTTCTCACAAGAAAGTTCACAATCCTCTTCCTCCCGAATACTTTTTTATATCTTGTCGTAATCTATCAACAATAAGATTAGCGTTTTGTTCATTTCATCTTAATGTTTTACATATTGATTTGAAATGAACATCTGTATTTAAAAACTGACACGGATTATAAAATGTATAATTTTTCATTTGATGACCTAAATTCATTAAAACTCTTGCCACTTGTTTGTGTAAACGCCGTCGTTCTGGTACATTGCGTCTACACATTGATACATATACGCCAGAACTCGTTGTCTTATTTGTGCATAATACATCTATTGTTGGGACACGTAAACGGAATGAACACGCAATACGCTCATCGTGACATGAAAGTTTAGAAACGACTGACAATTCAAAAGTAACTCCTGGCAACGTGCATACCAAGCTTAGTCAGCGAAAAGTAGGTGTAAGCATGATAATCAATGTTTACTGTAGGTAAACTCTCAACTTATCGTCACTGGTTCAGTCTTCTAAGTCTAATCACCACAGGCTGAACAAGTATTATTCTGGAGTTGGATTAATCTAAAGCAGACAACGCTTGGGGACTTCATGGGATTTCTACGTATATTAAAACGCGTGTGTGATCAAATGTCTCGTCGAACGCTGTGCGGTTTGCCTACATTTGAGACAGCTGACATTAACTTCCGACATACGACGCTCGACGATTATCAAGACGTCGTTTCTTTGCGAAAACATTCATACAATGGAATGGATTACCTTCCAAGTGAATACCGAGACCTGTTGAGATACAATACTGGGATAGCGGGGTTCGTCGGTAGAAGCATGGTAAAATAAGGAACTTCTCTTAATTAGCATAAAATACCACCAAGGAAAACGAGGATATATATATATGTAATGAGATTGTAATCCTGTATGTAATCCTGTAAGTTAGATCGTAATGATAAAGTGCTCACGTTGACTCAGAACACTAAAATTATCTCCGTCTAGTTCGTGTTCACGTTGGCTCAGAACACTCAAATTATCTCCGTCTAGTTCGTGTTCACGTTGGCTCAGAACACTCATATTATCTCCGTCTAGTTCGTGTTCACGTTGACTCAGAACACTCAAATTATCTCCGTCTAGTTCGTGTTCACGTTGACTCAGAACACTCAAATTATCTCCGTCTAGTTCGTGTTCACGTTGACTCAAAACACTCAAATTATCGTGTTCACGTTGACTCAGAAAACTAAAATTAACTCCTAGTTTGTGTTCATGTTGACTTAGAAGACTAAATACCTTTCTCCCTTCATCTAAATTGTTTTGTAATAGACTCTTATTATTAAATTTGGTGATGAAAAAAAGCACCTGTAAAGTATCTTTTTGTCTTTCGAAAGGTTAGCTTCATGTTTGCCGCTGTTATCGACGATGGTCAGTGTGTCTTGTTACGGTCAGGACGAGTGAAAGAGGGATACGAAGGTTTAGGGATTTTAACACACATGAAGAAACACTGTTATGGAAATCTCCCAGATAGTGTAAAAAGGAGCGTGATCGCTTCAACCTCTCCTGATGCTCGCCATCTTGTACAACAAAAAGGGGCTCATGGAGTATTTCAGAGGGTAAGTTTATTTGTACAAAATTATTCCATGCCGCCATTGGAATATTCAATGATTAACTTCAAAGATAGTTTTTTTTTCTTGCGTAAGCCATTACCAGCGGCGTATACTGTTATGAAACCGCAAAGCAAGAGTTCCACGCCTAAAATACACTTCGCTTTTTATACTTTGGCTCATTTATAAACATTTACTCATCCACCCACCCGCACAGCAAAAATGACAATAGTTTTAAACAAACGTTAATTCATTCAATCACAGAATGCATTTTTTTTTTTAACATTTATGATGGATTTCTGAATTCAATCGTATTTTAAACCGCTGGACTGGCCAATCAGAGGGGGTGGAGGGAGGCCATACATTCAAATATCTCATATAAGTTACTGCTTACTTTTATCTGAAACAGTTTTACCCGCGTTTACCCGTTAAAGAAATGTCTTTACTGAGCAATGCATTTAATTTCGACACATGGCACGATCACACAATATTAGAAGTATACTGCGACTGCAATGTGTGGAAAAACACAATAAATCAAATGTTTCGTAATTTGAGCTAAGTTATTTATTCTAGAGAGTAATATTTTTTAAAACTTAGAACTAAGGTTTCCGGATGTATGGAATATCATACCAACAGCAGAAATACATTCGTGCACAGACGAAATTTCAGCTGCGTTTTTGCACAACATAGTTTTCATTATACTAAAAGTATAGTCGAAAACAAGTGTCTGCCACAGTCATAAAAATCCCAGAGACAGAGGCCGAAATGTAACAATGTTGAAGAGTGTTTCATGAGTTCTGTATTACCAGCTTCTTTCCTGAAGATGATGCTATTCTCCCTCTGATGAAACATACGTGTAAACCTTCCTATGTATCCACACATCATTATGTATTCAGTCTTATATCTTTACATCGACTTGTCACTAAACTGGTGATGACACGATCACATCAGTTCATCATCGTTCACCCAAACACTCATTCATTCCGTATTTGCAAATTATTTGTTTTTGTTTGTTTTGGGTTTTTTTTTTTTTTTTTTTTAAGTTAAGCAATACACCGAAAGAATTTAGATGATAAAAATTAGAAACGTAGGACAAAGCCAGCCTTAATGGTATCAGGTCATAATGACAGAAATAACAAAGATGACTGCTTTATTCTATCCTATCAATTTAGACAATTATTTATTGATATTTCAGATAAATATAATATACGTTTCGTAAATAGATAAAGAGTTACATGTTAGATGGAGGACGATCCATAATGTTCATTCGCCTTTTTATATTTTATCAATCAATTAATTAATTAATTATTTGTTTGACTTGTTGTTTTATATTTTTTAAGATAAATGATGAGAATAGTGCAGGTATTAAATAAAGTTGATAGAACATCCATCAGTCTAAAATCGACATTAATGAAAGAGGACTATTTTTCAGAATGTAACAATCTTGAGAACAACTACACAGTCTTTCAAGGATACAACATCTCATCTCACCTTATCGTCATTGGAAACCGTCGATGCACGCCATTTGGAAAAGATCTTCCTGTCGAATCTTGTGTCAAGTATTCTATTTCCTGAAAACAGATTTGTAGTCAAGCGTGTTCCGTATAGGCTAATCACATCAAATATCAACCACATATTTCGTTCCAATATCAAAATGTTCGCTAGTCATAAAGATGACGAACTTTTCATGTCGGCTTCACACACACATGTATGTGAAGCAGGGTTGATGATGTTTTTAGATTTTTATGGAAATATAGATAATATTGACAATGTCGCTAAACATGTGACAAGACATCTGAGGTATTTTGTTAAAACTAGTGAAATGAACCTGGTGCGGTATGTTACCTATGGTTCTCAGCAACGCAGTGAACAAATGACGCGTCTATTGTCCAACTCTTCCTGGGAAGTTACTGAAACTGAGGTTTTATATGGCATCGAGAAAACGATATAATATCACGTTATCTGATTTATGAAGTTAAACTACTCTTTCAAAACTCTTTGTATAATACCTTTATACATGATCTCTGAGGGCCATGACCCTTTTCTACATCGAGCCCAGTTTGGACAGCTTTCCGACAAAATGTTTGATAAGCATGATGGTTCAAATAACCCTCATAAATATTTTCCATTTTTCGTCCACGAACTCGTAAATTAGGGTTTTGAAAGATGCAGTTTGATGAATTATGGAGAAAATTGTAATGTTGTTATAGCGATCTCTATATCCAATATTCTTTTTCTTTGTGCGACATGAAGCAGGGCTTGTTAGTTTGCTTGTTTGTCCCACTGTTGTATAACCTTTTTCTAATTTGAGAACGTGACATTACTTAAGATTTGAATCGAGCGTGATTCCGATGAAGCAAAATACGCTTACTATTCCAGAACACACAGTCTTCCCTTTTTCAGTGTGGATTATGATTATGTCGACATGTTGGTATTTTCTTGAATTTTGTGTTTTTTACGTTTCTTTTTACTTTCGTCAAATCTAATTATTTATATACATTTGCTAACAAGCCAGTTTTAGAAATCCCCATCACTTGAAGTTACGATTAGAAATATTCTATATATAAATATTTGCTTACTTGCAGAGCTTTGAATTATATTTCCAAGTACTTGTGATCCCTGCTGAATTTTTTGATATCACCAGATTGATTGTCTGGCCGATCTATCTTACTTTCAAAGAGTAATTAAAGTCAGATAAAATTATAACATAAAAGGAAACACCTGTGTTGTTAAATTCAACAATTTTCTTTTAATGAAAACGCAATAAACATTGCAGTTTTTGTTACACATTTATTTACTAATATAACAATCGATAAAGTAAGAACCAATGTTTATCAAAGAATCCCAGTTTTCTAAATCATTGCTTGCGTTAATAATGAGTATTTAAAATCTTGTTGTCAGATAAAGTATGTTTATCTGTTGAAAAACACCTTCTCTAAACCCATCATTGGCGCTTCAATAACCATAGAAACGATGTAAGCAATGGCATATGACGTAACGAGGTTTCCTAGATACATGTAGATCTGAAAGTAGAAAATAGCAATCCGACATAACTATGTCCGACACATAGAAGAGATTTAGAGATGAGGGCGTATTATCTGGTATTCGAATCGTTACATTTAGCATGTCACTGGTGATGGTAATTTAGTTTATTTATATATAGTTAACACAACTTTGTATTCACACACAAGGGAATTGATTCACTTTGCCAAATAAAAAGGTTTAACATAATCATTGAGTTTTTGTCTTAGTCCTCACACTCAGCAGAAATGGAACAGTCACCACAGTTTACATGGGATATTCACATGTATTCAATGATACAACGAAATCAAAGGGAACTGATATATGTATTAATTTCAAATTATGTAATTAGTTCATTTTAATGCTTCCAATAAGTGACCAAACCCGGACAGATGGCGTACCAGTGTTACGTACAAACAAAGGGTTCTCTCATTGGCCAAAGGGCGTACAAAGATGTATTGACCATGGTTACAAAATAAAATTCCAAGTTTCAAGAGCTTACAGTGATGCTTGTCGACTTATTCCTGAGATCCTGCATGAATCAAGTGTAAGAGAATGATTTTATTATTGAGATAGCCAGATACTGAACTCAGAACTCAGCTTGACTTCGAGACTAGCAACCTACGTCACTTCAAACCATTTTTCACCTTCATTACATAATACTTACTACAACGACGTCCCCGAAGAAGAAGGCTGCCGGTTGATTATAGCCATAAGCTGTGATGATAACTGGATGAACGAGGTAGGCGCAGTAAGTTAAGCGACCTAGAGGGGCCCACAGCTTCCACGACAAAATGTTGTTTACTGGCCCTATATAAAGACATTATACTGCCACTTGGAGTATTGCACATTAACAGGCTGTGTTTCGCAAAATCTGGGTGTAAAGTATGTTTTGGATTTCAGATTGGTGTTTCTGCTTTAGTCGTTATAATGTATAGTTAATTTGTGATTGTATGATTTGATTATAACAAGAGAAATTGCGTCTATTTCATTCATGAACATTTATGATTATTGTGGATTTTTCTGTTGTTATCATATCAGTGTTAATTTCATTGTTCTTTTTTTTAACAAAAAATCTCACTTGAATGAAAGTAAAACAGAAGGATAATACATGAAATGATTGGATTACAAAGCCGCTGATGAGGATTCCAAGGCATGTTTTTAACTCACCACCATATCCGGTTGCGCATGCGTATATGATCCATGCTATAGCAAGTGCCCACGAGAGTCTGCTACAGCTGATATAGAGAGCACTTACTGCTAAGCTGGATTCATTAGTGACGTCATGATAGTAATGATATAGACCATATACAGGGAGCATTCCAAGGACGATTGCTAACGACCAACCAATGAAAACCTTTACCTGAAAACAATCATAAGTCGTTTTGAAGTTATATTTGGATTAACACCAAAACATCCTTATGTTTATCAATCCAATGAGCGACGAGACGCAGACAAGTCATTACCAATGTCAAGACAATATGAATCATGAAGAAAATAAGTGTAAAACATATTATAGTTTATTAGCGGGGAAACAAAGTAATCAATGCCTCTACAGTGTGCAATACTTACCCTGTTAAGTCTGGCCCTGCAGTCGTTGCTGTATAACAGATAACCAAGCAATATTCCTACCATGTACGGAGCGATTCTGGTGTAAGGCCGGTTGTACGTGGGATTATGAGCGTAAACATCATCGGTGTGCTTAGTTACACTTTGACTGAAAACAAAATGAAAATGACATTATATTGCCGGAGTTTGAAATTAATATCATATATAGTTTTATTCTTATTTCTTCGGAGTTTGAAATTAATATCATATATAGTTTTATTCTTAACACAACTGCAAATTCCTTAAAAGTATTACTTTGGTATGTATATTTCGTACATCTATATATATCTTACTTTGTATGTATATTTCGTACATCTATATATATCTGACTTTGTATATTTCGTACATCTATATATATCTTACTTTGTATGTATATTTCGTACATCTATATATATCTTACTTTGTATGTATATTTCGTACTTCTATATATATCTGACTTTGGTAAGTATATTTCATACATCTATATATATCTTACTTTGTATGTATATTTATATATATCGTACATCTATATATATCTTACTTTGTATGTATATTTCATACATCTATATATATCTGACTTTGTATATTTCGTACATCTATATATATCTGACTTTGGTATGTATATTTCGTACATCTATATATATCTGACTTTGTATGTATATTTCGTACATCTATATATATCTGACTTTGGTATGTATATTTCGTACATCTATATATATCTGACTTTGTATGTATATTTCGTACATCTATATATATCTGACTTTGGTATGTATATTTCGTACATCTATATATATCTGACTTTGGTATGTATATTTCTTACATCTATATATATCTGACTTTGGTAAGTATATTTCATACATCTATATATATCTTACTTTGTATGTATATTTCGTACATCTATATATATCTTACTTTGTATGTATATTTCGTACATCTATATATTCTTACTTTGGTAAGTACATTCCGAATTCTATGGCCGTCATCAAACGTATGAAGACACATGCTATAATCATTGCCACACATGAAATAAGTCCTGCTCGGCGGTAGCTGAAACACAATACTACAACAGCTCATCAAAATTATCACTCGCGTTAAACACATTTGAATGCATATTATTAAATGAAAGTTTCAGATGTTCTTGATTATTTCTTATAATGTTGAAGCTATGAAAATGCTCTGAAAAATACACTTATTCCAAACAAAGGACTAACACAGTAGTAAAACCTAGTTAAACACTTAAAACTTATTTTCTAACGCTTTGCCTCAAGTATTACCATGCATTTCTCATATTAAGTGAAAGATTCACATGCTCTAAATATACACGATTCTTCCGTATGAAAACCATGCCAAAATGACCATTCTCGACTTACGAAGCTGGACATTCATTGGATCGATTTTGATAAGATTGTTCACTCTTTCTGATTGGGCATATATTTAACTTTTAGAAAAAATGCGAAGTAATACTTCATTACTAGCTTAAATACATTTAAAGATTTTACCGCAAAAGTAGGACGATGAAGATCGGACTGATGATAAAAAATTGCATATCATTGGCTAAGTACCAAGTCCAGCCCATACACTGAAACACAAACGTAGTTTAAATTATCAACAGGTGATATTCATATGAACATATACGGAAACATATAATAAAACAATTCCATATATATATTTATCTGAAATAGGAGATCGAGCAGAGCTGGAGCCAATACTGTAGTAAATAGACCTTGAAATGTATCTATCAGTAGTTAAGAAGTTATATTTGCATTGCATAAACTTTTCTAGTGCGTGGTGTTATGATATACATATGCTTTAATTAGTTGTGGTTTAGCTTTTACATAAACATATGAAATCGACCTCCATATCACTGCTCGTGGTCCCAGCTCTGCTCGAACTCCAATGTCAGGAGAATAGATTCAGGAAAATACCAGAGTGTTTATTGTGTAACGTTTTTATTAATATAATTATGAATTTGATGTCAATTTGAAATTATCTTATGGTTTCAAGTTATAATCAATCACAGTTAGTATTCGTTATGTTGAATTTTACGCAGTCATCATTTAATGGATATTTTGAAAATAATTGGCAGGATCGTCATAGGAAACAAGCAATGTTTTATTATTGTTTTTATTGTAAACACAATTTGTGAAGGAAATAAATAAATAAACGAAACATAAAAAATATAGTGCCAAAACTATTAAAGATAAGGAGGTGACATAGGTATTTTGTCGTGGATCTTACTTACTATCTTGTCAAGTCTTCCACTGCTTGGATAGAAGTTTTGAATATACAGCAGACTTGCCCACCAAGACGACTGACACGGGTCAGGGGCATAATGCATCATGGCTTCATACACAATAGAGTAAGGTCCATAAACGAAATGTCTGGTCAGTGTAGCATAAATCATCAGACAGAACGCAAAGGCTGGTGTCAGTCTAAAACAGACCAATTATTTCATCCAGTTAATATGTTCTTCCTTTCTCTTTATATAGGACAAACTGTGAAACAAGAAACACTGACGTTTAAACGAATTAATAAATAAAATGTAGATATACTTATTGTGTCTTATGACAATTTAAACTTCTATCAATCATCTAGAAAGTGATATCTAAATCCTAATTACACACCATACATCACTGAATCCACTCTTCATGAAATATTTACTTTATAATTGTTCATATCATAGCTTGATGATTACTGTTGGAATTGTATTGATCACCAGCATTGGAACCCACAGAGTCTGTGAAAGTAAAACATTCTTACTGTCAGTCTGTGAAAGTACAACATTCTTACCTCCAGTCTGTGAAAGTAAAACATTCTTACCTCCAGTCTGTGAAAGTAAAACATTCTTACCTCCAGTCTGTGAAAGTAAAACATTCTTACCTCCAGTTTGTGAAAGTAACACATTCTTACCTCCAGAGTGTGAAAGTAAACATTCTCACTGTCAGTCTGTGAAAGTAAAACATTCTTACCTCTAGTCTGTGAAAGTAAAACATTCTCACCTCCAGTTTGTGAAAGTAACACATTCTTACCTCCAGAGTCTGTAAAAGTAACACATTCTTACCTCCAGTCTGTGAAAGTAACACATTCTTACCTCCAGAGTCTGTAAAAGTAACACATTCTTACCTCCAGTCTGTGAAAGTAACACATTCTTACCTCCAGTCTGTGAAAGTAACACATTCTTACCTCCAGTTTGTGAAAGTAACACATTCTTACCTCCAGAGTCTGTAAAAGTAACACATTCTTACCTCCAGTTTGTGAAAGTAACATATTCTTACCTCCAGAGTCTGTAAAAGTAACACATTCTTACCTCCAGTCTGTGAAAGTAACACATTCTTACCTCCAGTTTGTGAAAGTAACACATTCTTACCTCCAGAGTCTGTAAAAGTAACACATTCTTACCTCCAGTCAGTAAAAGTAACACATTCTTACCTCCAGTTTGTGAAAGTAACACATTCTTACCTCCAGAGTCTGTGAAAGTAACACATTCTTACCTCCAGAGTCTGTAAAAGTAACACATTCTTACCTCCAGTCAGTAAAAGTAACATATTCTTACCTCCAGAGTCTGTAAAAGTAACACATTCTTACCTCCAGTCTGTAAAAGTAACACATTCTTACCTCCAGTTTGTGAAAGTAACACATTCTTACCTCCAGAGTCTGTGAAAGTAAAACATTCTTACCTCCAGTCTGTAAAAGTAACACATTCTTACCTCCAGTCTGTGAAAGTAACACATTCTTACCTCCAGTCTGTAAAAGTAACACATTCTTACCTCCAGTCTGTAAAAGTAACACATTCTTACCTCCAGTCTGTAAAAGTAACACATTCTTACCTCCAGAGTCTGTAAAAGTAACACATTCTTACCTCCAGTCAGTAAAAGTAACACATTCTTACCTCCAGTTTGTGAAAGTAACACATTCTTCCCTCCAGAGTCTGTGAAAGTAACACATTCTTACCTCCAGTCTGTGAAAGTAACACATTCTTACCTCCAGTCTGTAAAAGTAACACATTCTTACCTTCAGTCTGTGAAAGTAAAACATTCTTACCTCCAGAATCTGTGAAAGTAAAACATTCTTACCTCCAGTCTGTGAAAGTAACACATTCTTACCTCCAGAGTCTGTAAAAGTAACACATTCTTACCTCCAGTCTGTGAAAGTAACACATTCTTACCTCCAGAGTCTGTGAAAGTAACACATTCTTACCTCCAGAGTCTGTAAAAGTAACACATTCTTACCTCCAGTCTGTGAAAGTAACACATTCTTACCTCCAGTTTGTGAAAGTAACACATTCTTACCTCCAGTTTGTGAAAGTAACACATTCTTACCTCCAGAGTCTGTGAAAGTAAAACATTCTTACCTCCAGTCTGTGAAAGTAACACATTCTTACCTCCAGTCTGTAAAAGTAACACATTCTTACCTCCAGAGTCTGTAAAAGTAACACATTCTTACCTCCAGTTTGTGAAAGTAACACATTCTTACCTCCAGTCTGTGAAAGTAAAACATTCTTACCTCCAGTCTGTAAAAGTAACACATTCTTACCTCCAGAGTCTGTAAAAGTAACACATTCTTACCTCCAGTCTGTGAAAGTAACACATTCTTACCTCCAGAGTCTGTGAAAGTAACACATTCTTACCTCCAGTCTGTGAAAGTAACACATTCTTACCTCCAGAGTCTGTGAAAGTAACACATTCTTACCTCCAGAGTCTGTGAAAGTAACACATTCTTACCTCCAGAGTCTGTGAAAGTAACACATTCTTACCTCCAGTCTGTGAAAGTAACACATTCTTACCTCCAGAGTCTGTGAAAGTAACACATTCTTACCTCCAGTCTGTGAAAGTAACACATTCTTACCTCCAGTCTGTGAAAGTAACACATTCTTACCTCCAGTCTGTGAAAGTAACACATTCTTACCTCCAGTCTGTGAAAGTAACACATTCTTACCTCCAGAGTCTGTGAAAGTAACACATTCTTACCTCCAGAGTCTGTGAAAGTAAAACATTCTTACCTCCAGAGTCTGTAAAAGTAACACATTCTTACCTCCAGTCTGTGAAAGTAACACATTCTTACCTCCAGTCTGTGAAAGTAACACATTCTTACCTCCAGTCTGTGAAAGTAAAACATTCTTACCTCCAGTCTGTGAAAGTAACACATTCTTACCTCCAGTCTGTGAAAGTAACACATTCTTACCTCCAGTCTGTGAAAGTAACACATTCTTACCTCCAGTCTGTGAAAGTAACACATTCTTACCTCCAGTCTGTGAAAGTAAAACATTCTTACCTCCAGTCTGTGAAAGTAAAACATTCTTACCTCCAGAGTCTGTGAAAGTAACACATTCTTACCTCCAGTCTGTGAAAGTAACACATTCTTACCTCCAGTCTGTGAAAGTAACACATTCTTACCTCCAGTCTGTGAAAGTAACACATTCTTACCTCCAGTCTGTGAAAGTAACACATTCTTACCTCCAGTCTGTGAAAGTAAAACATTCTTACCTCCAGAATCTGTGAAAGTAACACATTCTTACCTCCAGAATCTGTGAAAGTAAAACATTCCCCATCGTGTTCGGCCCTGATTTTTCGAAATATCTTTCAAACACAGATAGGTGACAAGCGTTCCACTGAAATAGAGTTAACATTGTCCCGGTTCACATGTTGTTGAATCTTTCCATACCATAAGGACATCATTGAAATACTTAAACCAAAACGGCCATTCACGTAATATAATGTAGAGGTAATTAGACTTCAACAGAAATAAGTTCCGGGGTAATGTGTATCTTTAGATTTAAATATTGTAAAGAATCCTGTGTAAAATTATTACATTTAAACATTTTTGTTGAAAGGTTTTAACAAATACATTTGCTTCAGTTTAATGTATTTTTTTATTACTATTTATCATTGGACACCATGATCAACAGCCATGAGCTGACACACCATATTAAGACCCATTTTACAGATCAGGCTCAGACGTTCATAGTTTGTTTCATGATAATGTACAATGGACGGATTCGTTATCGAAACGAAGATGAGACTATTTCAGTCATTGAATTACTAACACCTGTCAATTTCCGTTTATGGAAAGCCGAGAATATCACGAAATCTAAATTTATTCAACTTTTTTTTATCAAAGTTATATATGTTATTACATAAAATAAAGCAGTACTAATGACGTTCGTTACATATCTTTGTTTCAAATACCTCATGAAGAAAAACGTATCGACAGAAAATGTTCCATTCAAAACTGCCTGGAAGGAAAACCTTTGCCCAATTTTTGTAGCTTGAAGAGGGTTTTCTGAAAACAATTGTTCATTGACTGTTAACGAAAGTACGAATTATCAACTGTTAAGTCAGTCGTGCTAACAGTGTGTTGAGTATTGTTTATTGGACTGCTCAGTTAGACGATAGATATACATGTAAATAAGGCTGGTGGTATCATAGTGGTTGTATTGAATAGTAGTGGAACCTTCTCGTACTTACGGACTGTTTCATTCGACATTGGTAACTCAAAATTGTGTCCGAGAATGACCCACCACATACTGAGCACGCGCATGCCGTTGAGAGAAGACAGTGGACTGGACGCTGTAGATGTCGACATCAATTTTTCCGTGTTTTTAATGAAGGAAAATGACGTCATGAATGCCGAACATTTGGACATCTTATTACCTGCAATAACAATGAATCATTAAAAGAATCGAAATGTACACAAACAACAAAAATTTAAATACCGAAGGGACGGTTTTCTTGGGTGTACTCTACAATGTTACTTATACATCAAAGGTATAACACCTCGGCACAGCTCAAAGTCATTGTCAATTAACGCGGGTTGATTGAAAATAAAACGCAACAGTTGAGATTTTGACACATTTGTACAAAGCCCACGTATACCACGTCATTTTATGATGTCCTTTTCAAATCTGTGGAATATTCAGCAGCACACAACAGGTGTCCAATAGATTTGTGATTTACCTTGGCTAGTTGTACCAATCAAATGACCCTCGTCGAGTGTTACAGACGCGCTGGACAGAAGTCCTGTCCGTTCATTACTCTGAATAACTATTCCGTTATTTCCTCGTTTCGTGTCCTTCCGATGTCCGCCTTCGTCCGTGTACCTTAGGTATACATCTGTAAGTGTACCGGCACACACTAACATTCCGAGAATGCCACATACCACCCTGTGGAAACATAACATTACGTTTTGATTAATTTAGGCAGATATATACATTTAGTTTATGGTTCTATTTTCACTCCATAAATAACAGCAGCAATATCAGTAAGTAGTTCTATAAAATTGAACAGACGCCTGAAAAATACTGAAGGCAAAAATACAGTGTAGTAGTAGAAATGTATCTGAAGAGAACCATTTCTAGCCTTTAGCGATATGTTAATAGTGTGTTAGTATAGTCATCCTCGATACTCCAGGGGTTGCAATCACTTTCGCTCTCTGCATCCGTGGAACCATCCTCTATACTCCAGGGGTTGCAATCACTTTCGCTCTCTGTACCCCTGGAACCATCCTCGATACTCCAGGGGTTACAATCACTTTCGCTCTCTGTACCCCTGGAACCATCCTCGATACTCCAGGGGTTACAATCACTTTCGCTCTCTGCATCCGTGGAACCATCCTCTATACTCCAGGGGTTACAATCACTTTCGCTCTCTGCACCCCTGGAACCATCCTCGATACTCCAGGGGTTACAATCACTTTCGCTCTCTGCATCCCTGGAACCATCCTCTATACTCCAGGGGTTGCAATCACTTTCGCTCTCTGCATCCGTGGAACCATCCTCTATACTCCAGGGGTTGCAATCACTTTCGCTCTCTGCATCCGTGGAACCATCCTCTATACTCCAGGGGTTGCAATCACTTTCGCTCTCTGCACCCCTGGAACCATTTTCGATACTCCAGGGTTTACCATCACTTTCGCTCTCTGCACCCCTGGAGCCATCCTCGATATTCCTGGGGTTACAATCACTTTCACTCTCTGTTCTCCTTAAACCATCCTCGATAGTCCAGGGGTTACAATCACTTTCGCTCTCTGCACCCCTGGAACCATCCTCGATACTCCATGGGATACCAACACTTTCGCTTTCTGCACCCCTGGAACTATCCTCGATACTCCAGGGGTTACCATCACTATCACTCTCTGTACCCCTGGAACCATCCTCTATACTCCAGGGGTTACCATCACTTTCACTCTCTGTACCCCTGGAACCATCCTCTATACTCCAGGGGTAACCATCACTTTCACTCTCTGTACCGCTTGAACCATCCTCTATACTCCAGGGATTACCATCACTTTCACTCTCTGCACCCCTGGAACCATCCTCGATACTCCATGGGTAACCATCACTTTCGCTCTCTGTACCCCTGGCACCATCCTCTATACTCAGGGGTTACCATCACTTTCACTCTCTGTACCTCTGGAACCATCCTCGATACTCCAGGGATTATGATCACTTTCACTCTCTGTACCCCTGGAACCATCCTTGATACTCCATGGGTTACCATCACTTTCGTTCTCTGCACCCCTGGAACCATCCTCGATACTCCATGGGTAACCATCACTTTCGCTCTCTGTACCCCTGGCACCATCCTCTATACTCCAGGGGTTACCATCACTTTCACTCTCTGCACCCCTGGAACAATCCTCGATACTCCATGTGTTACAATCACTTTCGCTCTCTGCATCCCTTGGAACTTACCTGGTATATGGTAGATTCTGTGATGTTTATATTGTAACAGCTGGTATATGGTAGGTTCCGTGATGTGTATATTTTAACACCTGGTATATGGTAGGTTCTGTGATGTAGATTCTGTGATGTTTATGTTTTAACACCTGGTATATGGTAGGTTCTGTGATGTAGATTCTGTGATGTTTATATTTTAACACCTGGTATATGGTAGGTTCTGTGATGTAGGTTCTGTGATGTTTATATTTTAACACCTGGTATATGATAGGTTCTGTGATGTAGATTCTGTGATGTTTATATTTTAACACCTGGTATATGGTAGGTTCTGTGATGTAGATTCTGTGATGTTTATGTTTTAACACCTGGTATATGGTAGGTTCTGTGATGTAGATTCTGTGATGTTTATGTTTTAACAACTGGTATATGATAGGTTCTGTGATGTAGATTCTGTGATGTTTATGTTTTAACAACTGGTATATGGTAGGTTCTGTGATGTAGGTTCTGTGATGTTTATGTTTTAACACCTGGTATATGGTAGGTTCTGTGATGTTTATGTTTTAACACCTGGTATATGGTAGGTTCTGTGATGTAGATTCTGTGATGTTTATGTTTTAACACCTGGTATATGGTAGGTTCTGTGATGTTTATGTTTTAACACCTGGTATATGGTAGGTTCTGTGATGTAGATTCTGTGATGTTTATGTTTTAACACCTGGTATATGGTAGGTTCTGTGATGTTTTTGTTTTAACACCTGGTATATGGTAGGTTCTGTGATGTAGATTCTGTGATGTTTATGTTTTAACACCTGGTATATGGTAGGTTCTGTGATGTAGATTCTGTGATGTTTATCTTTTAACACCTGGTATATGGTAGGTTCTGTGATGTAGATTCTGTGATGTTTATGTTTTAACACCTGGTATATGGTAGGTTCTGTGATGTTTATATTTTAACACCTGGTATATGGTAGGTTCTGTGATGTAGATTCTGTGATGTTTATGTTTTAACACCTGGTATATGGTAGGTTCTGTGATGTAGATTCTGTGATGTTTATGTTTTAACACCTGGTATATGGTAGGTTCTGTGATGTTTATATTTTAACACCTGGTATATGGTAGGTTCTGTGATGTAGATTCTGTGATGTTTATGTTTTAACACCTGGTATATGGTAGGTTCTGTGATGTAGATTCTGTGATGTTTATGTTTTAACACCTGGTATATGGTAGGTTCTGTGATGTTTATATTTTAACACCTGGTATATGGTAGGTTCTGTGATGTAGATTCTGTGATGTTTATGTTTTAACACCTGGTATATGGTAGGTTCTGTGATGTAGATTCTGTGATGTTTATGTTTTAACACCTGGTATATGGTAGGTTCTGTGATGTAGATTCTGTGATGTTTATGTTTTAACACCTGGTATATGGTAGGTTCTGTGATGTAGATTCTGTGATGTTTATGTTTTAACACCTGGTATATGGTAGGTTCTGTGATGTAGATTCTGTGATGTTTATGTTTTAACACCTGGTATATGGTAGGTTCTGTGATGTAGATTCTGTGATGTTTATGTTTTAACACCTGGTATATGGTAGGTTCTGTGATGTTTATGTTTTAACACCTGGTATATGGTAGGTTCTGTGATGTAGATTCTGTGATGTTTATATTTTAACACCTGGTATATGGTAGGTTCTGTGATGTAGATTCTGTGATGTTTATGTTTTAACACCTGGTATATGGTAGGTTCTGTGATGTAGATTCTGTGATGTTTATGTTTTAACACCTGGTATATGGTAGGTTCTGTGATGTAGATTCTGTGATGTTTATGTTTTAACACCTGGTATATGGTAGGTTCTGTGATGTTTATATTTTAACACCTGGTATATGGTAGGTTCTGTGATGTAGATTCTGTGATGTTTATGTTTTAACACCTGGTATATGGTAGGTTCTGTGATGTAGATTCTGTGATGTTTATGTTTTAACACCTGGTATATGGTAGGTTCTGTGATGTAGATTCTGTGATGTTTATGTTTTAACACCTGGTATATGGTAGGTTCTGTGATGTAGATTCTGTGATGTTTATGTTTTAACACCTGGTATATGGTAGGTTCTGTGATGTAGATTCTGTGATGTTTATGTTTTAACACCTGGTATATGGTAGGTTCTGTGATGTTTATGTTTTAACACCTGGTATATGGTAGGTTCTGTGATGTAGATTCTGTGATGTTTATATTTTAACACCTGGTATATGGTAGGTTCTGTGATGTAGATTCTGTGATGTTTATGTTTTAACACCTGGTATATGGTAGGTTCTGTGATGTAGATTCTGTGATGTTTATGTTTTAACACCTGGTATATGGTAGGTTCTGTGATGTAGATTCTGTGATGTTTATGTTTTAACACCTGGTATATGGTAGGTTCTGTGATGTAGATTCTGTGTTTTAACATGATGTTTATGTTTTAACACCTGGTATATGGTAGGTTCTGTGATGTTTGTGTTTTAACACCTGGTATATGGTAGGTTCTGTGATGTAGATTCTGTGATGTTTATGTTTTAACACCTGGTATATGGTAGGTTCTGTGATGTAGATTCTGTGATGTTTATGTTTTAACACCTGGTATATGGTAGGTTCTGTGATGTAGATTCTGTGATGTTTATGTTTTAACACCTGGTATATGGTAGGTTCTGTGATGTTTATATTTTAACACCTGGTATATGGTAGGTTCTGTGATGTAGATTCTGTGATGTTTATGTTTTAACACCTGGTATATGGTAGGTTCTGTGATGTAGATTCTGTGATGTTTATGTTTTAACACCTGGTATATGGTAGGTTCTGTGATGTAGATTCTGTGATGTTTATGTTTTAACACCTGGTATATGGTAGGTTCTGTGATGTTTATGTTTTAACACCTGGTATATGGTAGGTTCTGTGATGTAGATTCTGTGATGTTTATGTTTTAACACCTGGTATATGGTAGGTTCTGTGATGTAGATTCTGTGATGTTTATGTTTTAACACCTGGTATATGGTAGGTTCTGTGATGTTTTTGTTTTAACACCTGGTATATGGTAGGTTCTGTGATTTAGATTCTGTGATGTTTATGTTTTAACACCTGGTATATGGTAGGTTCTGTGATGTAGATTCTGTGATGTTTATGTTTTAACACCTGGTATATGGTAGGTTCTGTGATGTAGATTCTGTGATGTTTATATTTTAACACCTGGTATATGGTAGGTTCTGTGATGTAGATTCTGTGATGTTTATGTTTTAACACCTGGTATATGGTAGGTTCTGTGATGTTTATGTTTTAACACCTGGTATATGGTAGGTTCTGTGATGTAGATTCTGTGATGTTTATGTTTTAACACCTGGTATATGGTAGGTTCTGTGATGTAGATTCTGTGATGTTTATGTTTTAACACCTGGTATATGGTAGGTTCTGTGATGTAGATTCTGTGATGTTTATATTTTAACATACTTTGTGTATATTCCTATCATGAATACTTACAAAGCTATAATTGCTCCGGTGCTGTAGGTTGGTTTTTTATCACACATAGCCATAGTGGGTTTGGGAGCGCCAGAACCGTTATCAATCACTGAGAAAAAAACCATATCAGATTAAAAAGAATGTTAAATGAAATGTATAACATACTACAAAGCTAGCCAGTGATGATATATCTACAAACTATTTTCTTTGTAGCGTATATAGGCTATTTATAGATTACTTAGACAAGTAGAATTAATGTCAAGGTGATTGAAATGGTTTTATTTAAAAAAAAAAAAAAAAAAATTTAATTTGATTTCGAGTGGTAATTTTGTATAGTAGGTGTAATTACGTTAAGGTGTCGGAGTTAACGTCGACACATTCATTTATTTTCTTTATCTGTTCTTATTGTGGAATTTAAAACATTTACTTATATAGATAAGCTCACAATATAATATACACAGCTCGGGTGACATACTTATCATACAAACATAATGAATTTATAATAAAAATAATTGAAATATCTTATATCCTATTTTCTAATCGGATTTGGTGACAGAGTGAGCTATAAATAGCAAGTTTTATAAATTGGTAAAACAAAGGAGACTTACAACTCTGAACCAACGCCTTCACATCGTTTTCGCTGCAGCTACTCGGTACACATGTACCGAAAAGTAAGGGCCTGCTTCCAAATGCCTGAAACAATATCATGATGTTTATCATTAAGGTGTCATGATATGAAATCTAACATTTCCGATAAATAAATGGTTATACACTATAACAGGTATATACAGCTTCGTAATGTCAATATCTGGACCAATGGTAAGGTATTTCTGTTATCATTTTCAGAGTTCTCATTCAGACGCTTGATTTTTGCTATTTTGAAATACCTCTGAATAAAACGCTTGAATGATTAATATTTTTGCATCCATATTTTCCAATAAAAGCTGACGAAAAATACGATCTTAATTAATGATTTTTTGTTGAAAAATGAGTTTCAGGATGAATCTATTTTGTCACATGTTGTAAAAAACGTTAAATCATATCCTAAAATCGCGAACTATTATCCTTTTAAATTAAAAAAAAAAAATCCAATATCATCATTATAGGATTGAAGACAAGACTAAATAACAAGACATATGGCACAACAAAGGTATAGTTACTTATAGGGCATATCCTTAGGAATACGGACATGTCTCTGAACATTGCACATTTCTTTTCCCAAATCGTAAGATATTAAGAATCGCAAAAAAATTAAATCACTGCATCCAAATTATGCTTTAGTAATCAATTTGATTTTCTAAAGTAGATCTTAACCATTCTTCACTTTAATTTCGAATCACAGAGGAATCTCAGGAAAACGGTGTATTTGTATATGACGTATTTCACTTGGGCATAGATTATTATGTCGAGTTCGAGTAAAACTAGGTTTGTATTCTGTTCTCGAATAAGCACTCTCGATAAAAGATGATAGGACGACATACTGTATCAGAGTTTATATAATATGTGTTACTGTGACTAAGTCCTGAATGATTCATAACAATATGTAGGTTATCACTGAGAATGATACACGCTATTTATACAACCTTACCTATCGTTAACTACTTGATGGAGGAAGATGTACAAATACAAGTGTCCTACTCTATAGATATAAAACTTCATTAAACGTGCATAATGTTTATGTTGCAATAGGGAATAAACAAGTTTTTCTTTTACTTTAAGAGATGTGAGCTATAGTTTGGTAAGGTTGTTATCACATCCTCATTTCTGATTTCTTTAATAAGATTAGGTTATGGGGGATATCTCTGAAAGGGAATTCTTTAGTAAAGAAAATCACGTACTGAAATGTATTGAAGTGTAGTTGTTAAGCAATACTGCCCAGTAAATTTATGTCCGTTTGGTTGAATTGGCGACTCGACAGCCTTGCATTCATCATAGTTTCCGAACCACAGATAATGTCCTTGTAATATACCACTAGGAACCTTTGTGTCGGCGTCCAACACTAAATACAAAAAAATAGAAATATCAAACTGCACTCTGTTATCATTCTCCGGGGTAATAAACCCACACTCCCTAATCATTCTCCGGGGTTATATCAACCCACACTCCTTAATGATTCTCCGGGGTTATAAACCCACACTTCCAAATGATTCTTCGGGGTTAGAAACCCACACTTCCTAATGATTAACCGGGGTTATAAACCCACACTTCCTAATCATTCTCTGGGGTTATCAACCCACACTTCCTAATGATTCTAGGGGTTATAAACCCACACTTCCTAATGATTCTAGGGGTTATAAACCCACACTTCCTAATGATTCTTCGGGGTTATAAACCCACACTCCCTAATGATTCTCCGGGGTTATAAACCCACACTCCCTAATGATTCTCCGGGCTTATAAACCCACACTCCCTAATGATTCTCCGGGATTATAAACCCACACTTCCAAATCATTCTCCGGGATCATAAACCCACACTCCCTAATCATTCTCCGGGATTATCAACCCACACTTCCTAATGATTCTTCGGGGTTATAAACCCAATCTCCCTAATGATTCTCCGGGGTTATAAACCCACACTTCCTAATGGTTCTCCGGGATTATAAACCCACACTTCCCAATGGTTCTTCGGGGTTATAAACCCACACTCCCTAATGATTCTCCGGGATTATTAACCCACATTTCCTAATGATTACCCGGGGTTATAAACCCACACTTCCAAATGATTCTTCGGGGTTATAAACCCACACTTCCTAATGATGAACCGGGGTTATAAACCCACACTTCCTAATCATTCTCCGGGGTTATCAACCCACACTTCCTAATGATTCTAGGGGTTATAAACCCACACTTCCTAATCATTCTCCGGGCTTATAAACCCACACTCCCTAATGATTCTCCGGGATTATAAACCCACACTTCCAAATCATTCTCCGGGATTATAAACCCACACTCCCTAATGATTCTCCGGGATTATAAACCCACACTTCCTAATGATTCTCCGGGCTTATAAACCCACACTCCCTAATGATTCTCCGGGATTATAAACCCACACTTCCAAATCATTTTCCGGGATTATAAACCCACACTCCCTAATGATTCTCCGGGATTATAAACCCACACTTCCTAATGATTCTCCGGGATTATAAACCCACACTTCCTAATCATTCTTCGGGGTTGTAAACCCACACTCCCTAATGATTACCCGGGGTTATAAACCCACACTTCCTAATGGTTCTCCGGGATCATAAACCCACACTCCCTAATGATTCTTCGGGGTTACAAACCCACACTTCCTAATGATTCTAGGGGTTATAAACCCACACTTCCTAATGATTCTTCGGGGTTATAAACCCACACTCCCTAATGATTCTCCGGGGTTATAAACCCACACTCCCTAATGATTTTCCGGGGTTATCAACCCACACTTCCTACTGATTCTCCGGGATTATAAACCCACACTCCCTAATCATTCTCCGGGGTTATAAACCCACACTCTCTAATGATTCTCCGGGGTTATAAACCCACACTTCCTACTGATTCTCCGGGGTTATAAACCCACACTCCTTAATGATTCTCCGGGATTATAAACCCACACTTCCAAATGATTACCCGGGGTTATAAACCCACACTCCCTAATGATTCTCCGGGATTATAAACCCACACTTCCAAATGATTACCCGGGGTTATAAACCCACACTTCCTAATCATTCTCCTGGATTATAAACCCACACTCCCTTATGATTCTCCGGGGTTATAAACCCATACTTCCTACTGTTTCTCCGGGGTTATAAACCCACACTTCCTACTGTTTCTCCGGGGTTATAAACCCACACTTCCAAATGATTACCCGGGGTTATAAACCCACACTCCCTAATGATTCTCCGGGATTATAAACCCACACTTCCAAATAATTCTCCGGGATTATAAACTCACACTCCCTTATGATTCTCCGGATTTATCAACCCACACTTTCTAATCATTCTCCGGGATTATAAACCCACACTTCCTAATGATTACCCGGGGTTATAAACCCACACTTCCTAATGATTCTTCGGGGTTATAAACCCACACTCCCTAACGATTCTCCGGGGTTATAAACCCACACTTCCTACTGATTCTCCGGGGTTATAAACCCACACTTCCTACTGTTTCTCCGGGGTTATAAACCCACACTTCCAAATGATTACCCGGGGTTATAAACCCACACTTCATAATGGTTCTTCGGGGTTATAAACCCACATTCCCTAATGATTCTCCGGGGTTATAAACCCACACTTCCTACTGATTCTCCGGTATTGTAAACCCACACTTCCTAATCATTCTTCGGGGTTGTAAACCCACACTTCCTAATGATTCTCCGAGGTTATAAACCCACACTTCGAAATGATTCTTCGGGATTATAAACCCACACTTCCTACTGTTTCTCCGGGGTTATAAACCCACACTTCCAAATGATTACCCGGGGTTATAAACCCACACTTCCTAATGATTACCCGGGGTTATAAACCCACACTTCCTAATGATTACCCGGGGTTATAAACCCACATTCCATAATGATTCTCCGGGATTGTAAACTTTCACTTCCAAATGATTCTCCGGTATTGTAAACCCACACTTCATAATGATTCTCCGGGATTATAAACCCACACTTCCTAATGGTTCTTCGGGGTTATAAACCCACACTCCCTAACGATTCTCCGGGGTTATAAACCCACACTCCCTAATGGTTCTCCGGGGTTATAAACCCACACTTCCTACTGATTCTCCGGGGTTATAAACCCACACTCCCTAATGATTCTCCGGGGTTATAAACCCACACTCCCTAATGGTTCTCCGGGGTTATAAACCCACACTCCCTAATGATTCTCCGGGGTTATAAACCCACACTTCCTACTGATTCTCCGGTATTGTAAACTCACACTTCCTAATCATTCTTCGGGGTTGTAAACCCACACTCCCTAATGTTTACCCGGGGTTATAAACCCACACTTCCTAATGGTTCTCCGGGATTATAAACCCACACTTCCTAATGATTCTTCGGGATTATCAACCCACACTTCATAATGATTCTACGGGATTATAAACCCACACTTCATAATGATTCTTCGGGATTATAAACCCACACTCCAAAATGATTCTCCGTGATAATTAACCCACACCCCCTAATGATTCTCCGAGATTATCAACCCACACTTCCAAATGATTCTTCGGGATTATAATCCCATACTTCCAAATGATTCTCCGGGGTTATAAACACACACTTCCTACTGTTTCTCCGGGGTTATAAACCCACACTTCCAAATGATTACCCGGGGTTATAAACCCACACTTCCTAATGGTTCTCTGGGATTATAAACTTTCACTTCGAAATGATTCTCCGGGATTATAAACCCACATTCCCTATTGATTCTCCGGGATTATGAACCCACACTTCCTAATGATTCTCCGGGCTTATAAACCCACACTCCCTATTGATTCTCCGGGATTATGATCCCACACTTCCTAATGATTCTCCGAGATTATAAACCCACACTTCCTAATGATTCTCCGGGCTTATAAACCCACACTCCCTACTGATTCTCCCGGATTATAATTCCACACTTCCAAATTATTACCCGGGGTTATAAACCCACACTCCCTAATGATTCTCCGGGATTATAAACCCACACTTCCTAATGATTCTCCGGGGTTATAAACCCACACTTCCTAATGATTCTCCAGGGTTATAAACCAAATGATTCTCCGGGATTATAAACCCACACTCCTAATGATTCTCCGGGATTATAAACCCACACTTCCTAATGATTCTCCGGGGTTATAAACCCACACTTCCTAATGATTCGCCGGGATTATAAACCCACACTTCCAAATGATTCTCCGGGATTATAAACCCACACTTCCTAATGATTCTCCGGGATTATAAACCCACACTTCCTAATGATTCTCCGGGATTATAAACCCACACTCCCTAATGATTCTCCGGGATTATAAACCCACACTTCCTAATGGTTCTCCGGGATTATAAACCCACACTCCCTAATGATTCTCCGGGGTTATAAACCCACACTCCCTAATGATTCTCCGGGCTTATAAACCCACACTTCCAAATGGGGATTATAAACCCACACTCCTAATGATTCTCCGGGATTATAAACCCACACTCCTTATTGATTCTCCGGGATTATAAACCCACACTCCCTAATGATTCTCCGGGATTATAAACCCACACTCCATAATGATTCTCCGGGATTATAAACCCACACTTCCTAATGATTCTCCGGGATTATAAACCCACACTTCCTAATGATTCTCCGGGATTATAAACCCACACTCCTTATTGATTCTCCGGGATTATAAACCCACACTCCCTAATGATTCTCCGGGATTATAAACCCACACTCCCTAATCATTCTCCGGGATTATAAACCCACACTCCCTAATGATTCTCCGGGATTATAAACCCACACTCCCTAATGATTCTCCGGGATTATAAACCCACACTCCCTAATGATTCTCCGGGATTATAAACCCACACTCCCTAATGATTCTCCGGGATTATAAACTTTCACTTCCAAATGATTCTCCGGTATTGTAAACCCACACTTCATAATGATTCTCCGGGATTATAAACCCACACTCTCTAATGATTCTCCGGGATTATAAACCCACACTCCCTAATGATTCTCCGGGATTATAAACCCACACTTCCTAATGATTCTCCGGGATTATAAACCCACACTCCAAAATGATTCTCCGGGATTATAAACCCACACTTCCAAATGATTCTCCGGGATTATAAACCCACACTCTCTAATGATTCTCCGGGATTATAAACCCACACTTCCTAATGATTCGCCGGGATGATAAACCCACACTCCATAATGATTCTCCGTGATAATTAACCCACACTCCCTAATGATTCTCCGGGATTATAAACTTTCACTTCCAAATGATTCTCCGGGATTATAAACCCATACTTCCAAATGGTTCCCCGGGATCATAAACCCACACTCCCTAATGATTCTCCGGGATTATAAACTTTCACTTCCAAATGATTCTCCGGTATTGTAAACCCACACTTCATAATGATTCTCCGGGATTATAAACCCACACTCCCTAATCATTCTCCGGGATTATAAACCCACACTCCCTAATGATTCTCCGGGGTTATAAACCCACACTCCCTAATGATTCTCCGGGATTATAAACCCACACTTCCTAATGATTCTCCGGGATTATAAACCCACACTCCCTAATGATTCTCCGGGATTATAAACCCACACTTCCTAATGATTCTCCGGGGTTATAAACCCACACTTCCTAATGATTCTCCGGGCTTATAAACCCACACTCCCTATTGATTCTTCGGGATTATGATCCCACACTTCCTAATGATTCTCCGAGATTATAAACCCACACTTCCTAATGATTCTCCGAGATTATAAACCCACACTTCCTAATGATTCTCCGGGCTTATAAACCCACACTCCCTAATGATTCTCCGGATTTATCAACCCACACTTTCTAATCATTCTCCGGGATTATAAACCCACACTTCCTAATGATTACCCGGGGTTATAAACACACACTTCCTAATGATTCTCCGGGATTATAAACCAACATTTCCTAATGATTCTCCGGGATTATAAACCCACACTTCCTAATGATTCTCCGGGATTATAAACCCACACTCCCTAATGATTCTCCGGGATTATAAACCCACACTCCCTAATGATTCTCCGGGATTATAAACCCACAATCCCTAATGATTCTCCGGGATTATAAACCCACACTCTCTAATGATTCTCCGGGATTATAAACCCACACTCCCTAATGATTCTCCGGGATTATAAACCCACACTCCCTAATGATTCTCCGGGATTATAAACCCACACTCCCTAATGATTCTCCGGGATTATAAACCCACACTTCCAAATGATTCTCCGGGATTATAAACCCATACTTCCTAATGATTCTCCGGGATTATAAACCCACACTCCCTAATGATTCTCCGGGATTATAAACCCACACTTCCTAATGATTCTCCGGGATTATAAACCCACACTTCCTAATGATTCTCCGGGATTATAAACCCACACTCCTTATTGATTCTCCGGGATTATAAACCCACACTCCCTAATGATTCTCCGGGATTATAAACCCACACTTCCTAATGATTCTCCGGGATTATAAACCCACACTTCCTAATGATTCTCCGGGATTATAAACCCACACTTCCTAATGATTCTCCGGGATTATAAACCCACACTTCCTAATGATTCTCCGGGATTATAAACCCACACTTCCTAATGATTCTCCGGGGTTATAAACCCACACTTCCTAATGATTCTCCAGGGTTATAAACCCACACTCCCTAATGATTCTCCGGATTTATCAACCCACACTTTCTAATCATTCTCCGGGATTATAAACCCACACTTCCAAATGATTCTCCGGGATTATAAACCCACACTCTCTAATGATTCTCCGGGATTATAAACCCACACTCCCTAATGATTCTCCGGGATTATAAACCCACACTTCCAAATGATTCTCCGGGATTATAAACCTACACTTCCAAATGATTCTCCGGGATTATAAACCCACACTTCCTCCGGGATTATAAACCCACACTTCCTAATTTCTCCGGGATTATAAACCCACACTTCCCACACTTCCTAATGATTCTCCGGGATTATAAACCCACACTTCCAAATGATTCTCCGGGATTATAAACCCACACTTCCTAATGATTACCCGGGGTTATAAACCCACACTTCCTAATGATTCTCCGGGATTATAAACCCATACTTCCTAATGATTCTCCGGGATTATAAACCCACACTTCCAAATGATTCTCCGGGATTATAAACCCACACTTCCTAATGATTCTCCGGGATTATAAACCCATACTTCCTAATGATTCTCCGGGATTATAAACCCACACTTCCTAATGATTCTCCGGGATTATAAACCCACACTCTCTAATGATTCTCCGGGGTTATAACCCCACACTTCCTAATGATTCTCCGGGATTATAAACCCATACTTCCTAATGATTCTCCGGGATTATAAACCCACACTTCCAAATGATTCTCCGGGATTATAAACCCACACTTCCTAATGATTCTCCGGGATTATAAACCCACACTTCCTAATGATTCTCCGGGATTATAAACCCACACTTCCAAATGATTCTCCGGGATTATAAACCCACACTCTCTAATGATTCTCCGGGGTTATAAACCCACACTTCCTAATGATTCTCCGGGATTATAAACCCACACTTCCTAATGATTCTCCGGGATTATAAACCCAGACTTCCTAATCATTCTCCGGGATTATAAACCCATACTTCCAAATGATTCTCCGGGATTAAAAACCCACACTCCATAATGATTCTCCGGGATTATAAACCCACACTTCCTAATGATTCTCCGGGATTATAAACCCAGACTTCCTAATCATTCTCCGGGATTATAAACCCACACTTCCTAATGATTCTCCGGGATTATAAACCCACACTCCCTAATGATTCTCCGGGATTATAAACCCACACTCCCTAATGATTCTCCGGGATTATAAACCCACACTCCCTAATGATTCTCCGGGATTATAAACCCACACTCCCTAATGATTCTCCGGGCTTATAAACCCACACTTCCAAATGATTCTCCGGGATTATAAACCCATACTTCCAAATGATTCTCCGGGATTATAAACCCATACTTCCTAATGATTCTCCGAGGTTATAAACCCACACTTCCAAATTATTACCCGGGGTTATAAACCCACACTCCCTAATGATTCTCCGGGATTATAAACCCACACTTCCAAATGATTCTCCGAGGTTATAAACCCACACTTCCAAATGATTCTCCGGGATTATAAACCCACACTCCATAATGATTCTCCGGGATTATAAACTTTCACTTCCAAATGATTCTCCGGGATTATAAGCCCACATTCACTAATGATTCTCCGAGATTATAAACCCTCACTCCCAAATGATTCTCCGGGGTTATAACCCCACACTTCCTAATGATTCTCCGCTGTTATAAACCCACACTCGCTAAGGATTATTCGGGGTTATAAACCCACACTCTCTAATGGTTTTCTGGGATTATAAACCCACACTTCCTAATGATTCTCCGGGATTATAAACCCACACTCCCTAATGATTCTCCGGGATTATAAACCCACACTCCCTAATCATTCTCCGGGATTATAAACCCACACTCCCTAATCATTCTTCGGGGTTATAAACCCACACTCCCTAATGATTACCCGGGGTTATAAACCCACACTTCCTAATGATTCTCCGGGATTGTAAACCCACACTCCCTAATGATTACCCGGGGTTATAAACCCACACTTCCTAATGATTCTCCGGGATTATAAACCCACACTCCCTAATGATTACCCGGGCTTATAAACCAACACTCTCTAATGATTCTCCGGGGTTGTAAACCCACATTTCCCAATTTATCCTAGAATTATAAACGTGCATTTCCCAATGTTTCCCGAGATTATAAATACACATGTCCCAATGTTTCCCGGGATTATAAATACACATGTCCCAATGTTGCCACAGGTTATAGATCCAAAGACTGCCACCATATAACTATTATAAATGATTTATCTGATTCTGTTGCAGACAAGAAAGGTTATAGATATTGAGCGATAAGATGAGAACGGTTAATAATTAACATAATGAGCTAGGTAGTATCTTACTCTGTTGTGAGATATGTGTAAGGTATATTTTTCCACTGTGTATCTTTGGAAATAAATGCCATTTTACCCATGTTTATATATAATCAAATCTTCAAGTACATAAAGTTCAATATACACCGGTATCGTTATATGCTTGTATGGAAAAGATCAACATTAGGAGCTATTGTTCCACCTATAGCACAACGAGGTTGAAGCCGATAAACTGCATGTTTCTTTAAACCAAATAATTAAACTAATGATAGTCATTATTTTTCAGACGAGGACTCCACATCGGCTATCTAATCACCATTCCTAATGAGACATCCTTGCCAATAACCATCGAGCCTTTTGCAGTGATATTCATGTCTTGCTAATACAACTTGATTATCAAAATACTTACTTCCTAAAGCATACGGCTTCCGTGCTAACATATCCAGCAAGGCCTGCATTGTGTCGTTGAGACAATAAAGCGACACATCATACCGACCTCGGCTTTGTTTCAGTAAAGAAAACACATTGGTGTTTTGAGTTCCATTCGATTCTTTAAAGTGAGCAGTATTTTCTGCATTTTGTAATCTCAACATATCTTCGAAGTTTCGGAGCAGGGAGCCTACCATCCCATCCCGAAGGAACGTTCTGCTTAAATCTACAATATCTTCAGTCTTCCTACTCGTTCCCATAGGAAATGGCTTCCCTGCAACATAAAAGGTGTTTCCAAAGTCGGTTGATCTCAGATTTAGCTTAAACTCTCCATTGTTATTTGCACAGCTGACAGATTGTAAATATATCGCCACCAGAATACAGAAAAAATGCACTAATCTTGTGGTGTTTTTCATGTTGGTTAGGTTATGCCGAAATCGCGGGATGCTTCAATATCCTTGAATGGCTGTTCACAATAAACTCACGCCATGGATCCCACACGCTGAACTTTTATAATCAAGACATATAAAGTATCACTCATCCACCTACTGATAGATATCGTGTACCCGTATTCAATCACAGACATCGTCAACTTTAAACCAACATATTTCAAAACAGGAAGATTCTACAGGCCAACATACATTCGAGTAAGTATTACAGACGAAGTGGTGTTAAACTTCCTCGTCTAATTTTGTATAGTATATACATAAATATGAGTATAACCACTTATTTATTTGAAATGCTGTACCAGTCCCAAGCTGACTGTTTAAAGATCAGCTTCAAGGTCAAGGTCAACCTCGGCTTAACGCTCTGTGTAATGTTTATTTTTAGACAACCTAGGTATGTCACGAAGCAGTATTTATATAATATCTTAACAAGCCCGTGATCACATGGAAATGAACCCTACCAGCCGTGATATAATGAACGGCTGGTTTTCTTTAGTTAAATAAAAGTGTATTTAAATGGTCAATGTAAAGACATATGTTACGTTCATGTGACGTTGATCAGCTGTATGATTGTTCTCTACGTTTAGGATATTCCCAGTTTCCATCCAACTAGATGAAATATAGATATTCTTCACCAGGAGAATTATATGAATAATCTTTTCTTCTTGTTTTCCTCGCCGTTTATTTGTTCAAATGAATATGTAAATATTACATTAACTACTCGATTGATTACACTCCTATAAAACACATTAAACACTCGCTTGATTACACTCCTATAAAACACATTAACCACTCGCTTGATCACTCCTATAGAACACATTAACCACTCGCTTGATTACACTCTGATAAAACACATTAACCACTCGAATGATTACACTCCTATAAAACACATTAAACACTCGCTTGATTACACTCCTATAAAACACATTAACCACTCGCTTGATTACACTCCTATAAAACACATTAACCACTCGCACTTGATAAAACACATTAAACACTCGATGATTACACTCTGATAAAACACATTAAACACTCGAATGATTACACTCTGATAAAACACATTAACCACTCGAATGATTACACTCTGATAAAACACATTAACCACTCGAATGATTACACTCTGATAAAACACATTAAACACTCGAATGATTACACTCTGATAAAACACATTAACCACTCGAATGATTACACTCCTATAAAACACATTAAACACTCGAATGATTACACTCTGATAAAACACATTAAACACTCGAATGATTACACTCTGATAAAACACATTAAACACTCGAATGATTACACTCTGATAAAACACATTAAACACTCGAATGATTACACTCTGATAAAACACATTAAACACTCGAATGATTACACTCTGATAAAACACATTAAACACTCGAATGATTATACTCTGATAAAACACATTAAACACTCGAATGATTACACTCTGATAAAACACATTAAACACTCGAATGATTACACTCTGATAAAACACATTAAACACTCGAATGATTACACTCTGATAAAACACATTAAACACTCGAATGATTACACTCTGATAAAACACATTAAACACTCGAATGATTATACTCTGATAAAACACATTAAACACTCGAATGATTACACTCTGATAAAACACATTAAACACTCGAATGATTACACTCTGATAAAACACATTAAACACTCGAATGATTACACTCTGATAAAACACATTAAACACTCGAATGATTACACTCTGATAAAACACATTAAACACTCGAATGATTACACTCTGATAAAACACATTAACACTCGAATGATTACACTCTGATAAAACACATTAAACACTCGAATGATTACACTCTGATAAAACACATTAACCACTCGAATGATTACACTCTGATAAAACACATTAAACACTCGAATGATTACACTCTGATAAAACACATTAAACACTCGAATGATTACACTCTGATAAAACACATTAAACACTCGAATGATTACACTCTGATAAAACACATTAAACACTCGAATGATTACACTCTGATAAAACACATTAAACACTCGAATGATTACACTCTGATAAAACACATTAAACACTGGATTAATTACACTCCGATAAAACACATTAAACACTGGATTCATTACACTCTGATAAAACATATTAACAAAGTTTATGATGTTTTCCGTCTCCGCGACTCCTCCCTTTACCGGATAACAAACGTAAGTGTTCTGGCGACGTGAGGGGGCGACCTGCATCTATCTCAGAGGGCTGGAACCGTCTTTTGCGATGTATGTTTGATAAAGCTAGTTTTAAAAGACGACTTTTTTACTCCAACAGTTTAAAACATGTCAAGAAGTGGAAAGGAGGAATTAGGGTCTTACATAGATTTGGTTGGAGTAATTTTAAAGTAGTCCCATTCCTTAGAATTGTATGCCTTAACACTGCACCTCAACCCCTAGACCGGCGTTAACATGTCTGAAAATATCACTTCACCGTAATATGTAAATAAAATTATGGTACTCCATGGAGAAAAAATATTCTGATAGAATATGATACTATAGAAATTTCATATATCTATTAGGATACAAGACATGTTATATATCTATTAGACAGGATACAAGACATGTTATATATCTATTAGGATACAAGACATGTTATATATCTATTAGACAGGATACAAGACATATTATATATCTATTAGGATACAAGACATATTATAAATCTATTAGACAGGATACAAGACATATTATATATCTATTAGGATACAAGACATGTTATATATCTATTAGACAGGATACAAGACATATTATATATCTATTAGGATACAAGACATATTATAAATCTATTAGACAGGATACAAGACATATTATATATCTATTAGACAGGATACAAGACATGTTATATATCTATTAGACAGGATACAAGACATACTATATATATATTAGACAGGATACAAGACATATTATATAACTATCGGACAGAAAGCTCTCTCTGAACACTGAAGCATAAATTTAAGATAGTTTTAAACATTCGGAACATTTTAGGACTTTTAATTGAAAAAAAACTGCTGTTTGTATGATTTTCTTGTCATATCAGCATTAGATCGTCACATAGATTCAAACAGTTTATATAGATAAAGTACTCACACATGTATATATAATGATAACGTCAGTTACTCTACTCGTATGATCAATATCTACACAGTTAAGTATATCTATACATATACAGTAATAGCCGAGCACCTGATTAACTGTATTGAAGAAGAAACCGTCAATCTTGGTAAACGTTATAACTCTATAACTGATGGTAAACAAGATTTGAATGGAGATAACGAGTATATATAGGATGTATGTTATAGATTTAATGTTGCAGAAAAGTCTTTACGGATTTCATGAAGAGGTGTTCTCTGAATGTAAATATATTGTAAACAATAGGAAGGTGTTGTGTATCCATTATACATAGTGAGGATTATTTAACATCTGGACTATACCTGAGATTTACTCGTGCTTCACACAACACATTTCCTAAGACCAAGATATCAAAATAGATTCATACATTTGGTTATTCGACATTAAATGTAATAAGTAATTTAAGATCCGTTATAGATAAAGCATATAAAGAAGATTTTTCTGAAATAGCGATATTATGATATTTTACTAAAACATATTTTGTAACGGAAACATCAAGAAATACACTAAATGAGCTTGAAGATTATGATAGGGAACATTTACCACTGATAAGAAATAGTATCACCGTAAATCTACATCCTTATTGTGTAAAGTACAAGCTTGACAGTAAATCTACATCCTTATTGTGTAAAGTACAAACTTGGCCGTAAATCTACATCCTTATTGTGTAAAGTACAAGCTTGGCAGTAAATCTACATCCTTATTGTGTAAAGTGCAAACTTGACAGTAAATCTACATCCTTATTGTGTAAAGAACAAGCTTGGCAGTAAATCTACATCCTTATTGTGTAAAGTACATGTGTAAAGTACCTACATCCTTATTGTGTAAAGTACAAACTTGACAGTAAATGTTATTGTGTAAAGTAAAGCTTGACAGTAAATCTACATCGTTATTGTGTAAAGTACAAGCTTGGCAGTAAATCTACATCGTTATTGTGTAAAGTACAAACTTGGCAGTAAATCTACATCCTTATTGTGTAAAGTACAAGCTTGGCAGTAAATCTACATCCTTATTGTGTAAAGTACAAGCTTGACAGTAAATCTACATCCTTATTGTGTAAAGTACAAACTTGGCAGTAAATCTACATCCTTATTGTGTAAAGTACAAACTTGGCAGTAAATCTACATCCTTATTGTGTAAAGTACAAACTTGGCAGTAAATCTACATTGTAAAGTACAAGCTTGGCAGTAAATCTACATCCTTATTGTGTAAAGTACAAGCTTGGCAGTAAATCTACATCCTTATTGTGTAAAGTACAAGCTTGACAGTAAATCTACATCCTTATTGTGTAAAGTACAAGCTTGACAGTAAATCTACATCCTTATTGTGTAAAGTACAAGCTTGGCAGTAAATCTACATCCTTATTGTGTAAAGTACAAGCTTGACAGTAAATCTACATCCTTATTGTGTAAAGTACAAGCTTGGCAGTAAATCTACATCCTTATTGTGTAAAGTACAAACTTGGCAGTAAATCTACATCCTTATTGTGTAAAGTACAAGCTTGGCAGTAAATCTACATCGTTATTGTGTAAAGTACAAACTTGACAGTAAATCTACATCGTTATTGTGTAAAGTACAAACTTGGCCGTAAATCTACATCCTTATTGTGTAAAGTACAAGCTTGGCAGTAAATCTACATCCTTATTGTGTAAAGTACAAGCTTGACAGTAAATCTACATCCTTATTGTGTAAAGTACAAACTTGGCAGTAAATCTACATCCTTATTGCGTAAAGTACAAGCTTAACAGTAAATCTACATCGTTATTGTGTAAAGTACAAGCTTGACAGTAAATCTACATCCTTATTGTGTAAGGTACAAGCTTGGCAGTAAATCTACATCCTTATTGTGTA